TTTTTAAGCTTTTGTCAGGTTTTTGTCATTTCTTTCAAATACTTTGGCCACGACTGGATGCTCCTGATGTTTTGGCCTCGCAGGCCATTTGGTGTCTCGACCTGTCCCACTCCTCTCCAGCTGTAAACCACCCCCCGCACATTCATTCACACACCTACATGATGATTTCGTTGGGCTCAAATGGAGACGTGAGGAAGCAGAAGAACAAGGTCCAGTGAAAACCTTTGTGCGCACCCCCTCCCCCGGATGATAGTGTGTGTGATAAAAAAAAAAAACTAAATAAAAAAGCACTTGTTAATTCGGGTCTTCAGACCCGCTGTTGTCTTTGTGCTTTGGATATGAAAAGGAAGAAAATACAAAATCAAATCTGATCAGATTGATTGATTATCACTGCAAACACTAAATTGCACATATTTATTCTATATTAAATTGTGTTAATAAGAAACGTCCGACTGCTTCCTGTTGTCTGTGTCACCAATGCTCATGTTAATATAATCATTTGTTCGGAACATGCGCCGACTTGTTTTCCATGATGATGTCGCTTTTATTTTCCTATGGCACATCACCTTTATTCAAAACTCTTCATTTAAAACCTTCCCTTTGCTTATATTGTCATTAGTGCAGAAAAACTCGATTTTGAGCAGGTTTACAGGCTCCAAATGTTTTTCGTGTTACTTCACAGGCTCTGACAAAAGACTGCCTCAGGTGGATGCCTCTGACATGTGACTGAGAGTGAGAAGAACCTAATGCCAACAGGCTGAGAGCTGAAGACAGGCGATGTGGACTCGGACATTCAGTGTGACCCTCGGCTCCCACATCTCTGTCTTTTCCTCTCCGCCACAAAGCCGCGCTGTTTGCACAGATGATGTTCCTGTTTGTCTCAGTGCCGCACTCCGAAGGTGACAACTGACGACTGAATGTTCCCACGGAACTAAACCGCGTCCCGGTGCCAAACACACGCACGCACCGGTTGATAAAAAAGCCGAGGAAACGACGCACTAGTCAGTGTAGGGGTGAGCACCACCGTGGACACATCAGTTTTCTGATTGTGTCATTACGTCTGTTATCGAAGAGAAAGTGAGCAGATCTAGTTTACGTGTGTATTACGCATCACTTCGCCTAAATGCGTCCATTATGTAAATTCCAGGCTAAAACCAACAATGGTTATTTATTAATATTTCACTTCAGTTTGAGCCAAGCCAGATGCATTCTTCTCTAAATGATTCTGCTGAATGTGAAATGAGTTTTGTGCTGGAGGTCTGCTCTGCTTAAAATCACAAGATCACTCTCTATAAATTGGTCTGGTCCCTGGATGTGAAATAAATAAAAGCATGTTATTCTTTTCTTTTTTTGGGGGGGGGGGAGTAGCAGTAGTGCGCGAGTGGCTGGAAGGGCCCGGAGGAGGTGGTCGGCTTCCTTACCTGTACCTAACATGTGTACTTAATCATACTGTGTGTGCTCCGCGTTACTCTCCGGTCGCTGTCAGGGTTACGCGCAGTGCAGGGCCGCAGTCCCCTCTCAGCTTCACGACGCTGTGCAGCTCCTTCACTCCCACTTCCCCAAGAAATGGTAACGAGAAGGACCGAGTTGTGTAAGTGATGCGGCAGAGAAGGAGTCTCTCTCCCCGCCGGGCTTCGACAGCTCACAGCGATCTGAGCTGCAGCTCAATGTGTTTGCATGACACATGATGTTAGTCAGCATTTACTGCCCCTTCTCCTGCTCTGAGAAACAGCTTCAATATTGTGAGAAATGTACGACTTTAAATGTGACTTTCTATTCTATTTTCATGATATTTTCGTTGTTAAATTGTGTCCGTGTAAAGCCTAAACTTCACGCCTGCAGCCAGGACTCAATTCATCCATTATAGCGGCTGTGATTAAATATTTAACTCCAAATAACTTTTGGCCTGAACACACTGGCTTTAGCAGAAATCAATTAAAAATTAACCCCATGCACGATGCTCCTCACATTCGTACATTTAAAGGATCCTGTAAAGCAGCAACCAAACGAAATGTTTATGGGAATTGACCTAAAGAGAGGAAGCGTAAAGGGAACTATTATAATTCAAAAGGTTCTTCGCCTTGACCAAGGGTTTTATATCCAAAACCGGGAGGCACTTCGGGCTAAACAGTACTGAGAGACATTTCAACGCCACTATTTTCAACCTTTACAACAGAATTAAAATTAGCTGCAAGAATTCTGCAGACTTGTAAATGTCACGGGGATGAAATCGCAACCCGGTAATTTTAGCAGACATTCAGCATAGTTAGAAGCCCTTAAATAAGCCCCTTAAATAAGCCCCTTAAACAAGCCCCTTATCACCCCTGTCCACACACACGCTGCTCTTAGGCCTAGCAGACACCACTCTGTGCTGCGCGCACCGACATCACCACCACCGTCATTATCATATTTAATATTACTGACAAGAAACGAGCCGGTCTCTGTCTGTTTCCAGGTAACTGTCACTCGGCATCTCTGGGAGCTGCCGAGGCGCCAGGTGTCCTGATGCTGACAACCGGGCTTCAGTGAATAGGTGAGTACGAGATGTGGCGTCTCTTTTTCTACAGTGAACTGTGAATGTGAGTTGGTGAGTTGTCGGAGGACCTGGACAACCGCTGTCAGGAGCTGAGCGGCTCTAGTTGTTTTAATTCTACCTGCTCCTGCCCAAGAGGACAAGACTCCAGAGGAACAGGCCGGAACAGCCGTGAATCGCTGGTCTCTATGGTCTGGCACCGCTGATCCGGTGGCTCTCCGGCCACGTTCTGGGCACCCAGAGGCAGGAGCGACCAGAACTCCCCCCCCCCCCCCGCCACTTTCTCACTGGTACCGGCCCACGGTTCCTATCAACGCCAAGCTCAATGAAAACACTGCAGCCAACACGAGCACACACTTTTCAGGCACAGTCCCAGTGTTGCAGATGTTACCAACCTGTGGCTTCATGGTGTTGCTCAGTGCGGTTGCGCATACTCTTGTTAACGTGCATGAAAGAATGTTTTGTTGCAGTTACTGTGAGGCCATAGATAAAGTGGCACATGCAAATCTGATTCTCAGCCATTCAGCTCAGGATAGCAGGCCATTAGAAACGGCTTCCTGAAAGAAGGCCCACTTCAGAATCACCACATCACCTTAATAGCATTGCTGTTTTACTGCCAACCACTTATTTCTATTTAAAGTTTCTGTTCCAGCTTTGCCCATTGAATGCCCATAGCCTACACTTTCAACAACTGTGAGGCAGCAAGTTACCACTGACCCTGAACCAGCAGACAGTCTAATAAGTGACAAGAGCTCGTTCAGCTGCAGTTTAAAAGCGGAAACTTAAAAAGTCCCATTCCTGCATTCCTGGTTCTTTTGCATTCACAAAACGCCACATGTCAGTGACATTTGACCCTCGCTGGCTTCCGTACCAATCAGACTGTCCACACACTGACATCTGTCTATCAAGTCGCAGGTTTATCATTAACACTGCGGTTGTAGTGACCCAGAGAGGAGGAGAGGGCTCATCCTTGACTAGACTCTTAGGCTACTCATTAACACGTATCAGCGCACGGGCTCCTCAGTGGGAGGACGGGGACAAGTCTGGGAGTTGGATCTCATGGGCCTGTTGCACCCTCGTGTTTACGGTCGTCTGCTGCTTAACAGGACTATTTATCAATGTAAAAACTAATTCTGGGGCACTTCTGTACCACTGTAGGTGTCCTATAAGCGAGACCCGTCCCACAAAACGCTTTCATGGGCCAAATGAATTTTCTGACGCTCCCTCTGCTCCCTCCCCTCCCTCGCTCTTTGTCTCTCCTCCCTTCTCTCCTCCCTCTATCAGTCAGTGCGCCCGTTGGCACAGCAAAGATTGAAAGTGACACACTGATTAGAAACCGGTCCTCTGTATCCTTTCAATCCCGCCAGTACTGGGACACCGATGTGTGCGTTTCGGTCAGGCTTGTGTTTTGGTTGCTCTCCCGGCCTTTCTGTTCCGGCGCTGTCCCTGCGGTGTCGCGTTGTCTTTGCGCTTTTCTCTGCTCCGAGGACATGAGTTCACAGGAGGGCAGACTTTTGCCATAAATGCGCGGTCTGAACTAAACGGCAGGGAAAAGCGTTAAAGGGAGGACGAAGAAAGTGCAGCCTGCGTTCAAACATCACGTCTGTGTGCGCGCTCCGGTCCGAACCGGGGTCCACGGCTCCAGGACACGCCGTTGCTCTCTCCCCAGCACCACTTCCACACAGACGCGTATCCTCCGTCCACCTCTCCACACTCAGCCCAGTGCTGCGCGCCCACACACTAGTACACACTAACAACATACTCTCACACACACTCCACCGCTAACTTAAACTTTTTCCTTGTGGATCTCCGGTCCGGCTCCGAGTGCACATTTAGCACAGTACCAGCGTGATCCGCCGTGCGTCCCGGGACGGAACCAAAGCCCAGCCCTGGATTCAATACTCCTGATCAATGGACAGAGCCTCGTCGGCGGCCAGCAGCGCTACAGACACGTCGTGAACAGTGAGTGGCGCACACACACACACCCACACACACCTACACACACATACAATGATTTAAACTGGGTCTAAATCATTATCACGTGCTAACAACCGAAATCAAGACATTGATCCGAGAGACACTTTTCACTTTGCACCAAACTAATTTAGTCAGTGATTATTATTATTATTATTGTTATTATTATTAATTATATTTAACTTTCAGTATTCCTGTTAATCTGGTTGTTGTTATTAGGCCATAATTAGCTGAAAAGTAACACAACTCTGTAATCAAACCAGTTTTTATAAACACGTTTACCCGTAATTTCTTCTGCATGGTGAAGTTTATCTTTTGGCAGTGTTGTGAGCATGGAGGTGAAATCTATTTTCTATAAATTGTTTATTTTTGTAGAAAGATGACGTCCACTGAAAATGTTAATAAAATCACAAAGTTGTTAAAGAAGTCAGTCTCTGAATATTAAGTTTAAACCTGCTCTCTGTCAGTTTGTGTGTGTGTGTGTGTGTGTGTGTGTGTGTGTGTGTGTGTGTGTGTGTGTGAGTGGATGGAGGTTAAAACACGAATAAAGACAGAATCTGTCTTATTTCCAGGAAACAAGAAAACGTCTTAAAATGCGAGTCTGTCCACTTAAAGAAAAATGAGTGCCGAGTTCCTCTGAGGTGCTGCAGAGTTTAAATAACAGCAGCCCGCTGCAAAGGGCATCATAATCACCAGTATGGGGGCTGAGGGCGAACAAATCATAGGAAGGACCCGGGAGGTGCTCACCCCGGTCCAGGCATTTGACCCGCAGCACATGGGCCCAAAGTCAGCGGCCGCTTTAGAGCTGGACTTGTTCACTGTGGATGGAGAATGTTGAGGAAACGTTCAGAAATGTGAAGATACGACAAAGCCCTGGTTTGATCGGGGACTGGAACTGAAAAGGCCCGGCGCTCTCTGTGTGATCACAAGGAACTGAAGGCGCAATGAGAAGCAGCGGCTCCGCAGAGCGTCACGTCTGTCCTTTGGCCAAAACACGAGCCTGTATCCCTCTGACAGGTTAGACATTCAATTGTGAGTTTCCAAAAACAAGACACAACACAGTTGTGACCCTCTTCACCTCCGGCCTGTCGGCCCCGCTTCTTCTCCAGCCTTCGTGTTTTTTCTGTTTTCCTCATCAAATGAAATGCCAGCTTCCGTTCACACAAACATGACCTTTTGGAGGATTTCTCATTTCAGCAGACAAAGCCTAGAATCGGCTTCGGATTAACAGGCTTAAAACAGAAAATCGATAGTTTTACACATATCGGCTATTGTAAAAGAATGAACAGAATGAAACTACAGGCCATAATTAATTTACACTAATTAGATGAGGCGCCAGCAGCCAACACTGCACAACGCTGTCCGTCATGCTCCCCCCACCCCCCCACAAGGCGCCAATCAAACCCTTCACATAAAAAATAACATAAATAAAACATTTTTTGAGCCAAACCACCAAGAAAACCGAATTCGTTTCAGCTGCTGTGACGGAGACTGTGTCCAGGTTTCTGGCCTGTTTGAAGTTTGCTCACATGGCGCAGAAGGTTGACGGGAGCCGCGCAGAGAGTGTCGGGACGTGACAGGCAGGTACAGGTGTGCAACGAGCTTGTATCAGAAACAGAGAGAAACCCGTGTTGTCTTTGGCCTTTCACCGAGCTGCTGGAGGCTTTTTCCTCCTCCGCTGCCGAATCGAAAGGACATTTGAGCAAATTATTTATGGTCCACAATGTCATGGATATTACACACTTTCTTTTTTTACTAGGCATTTTTGCAGTAGCTGCTCGTCTGTTTCATTATTCATTTATTTCTCGTGTAGTGCAGTTTTTTAGAAGTCAGTGAGTTTAAGCAGTCACGGTGAATTTAGACCAAGACATTAATGATCGTTTTCGGTATTTGGGTAAGTCTCCTAGTCCGTTGTGTCTGTCGCTGTGCGTCAACCCAGATGTCTGTCCACATGTAATGCAGTGTGCCTGTGCTATTAAACTGCAGATTAGATCGTGGAGCTTCACTGCTGATGCTGTGGGCGTCAGCTCCTGTCTCAGCCTTCGGCACATATCCTGATTGGTCGTCATCAATTATATATGTAACAAAGGTGTGTGTTTGTGCAGGCAGGTGGACAAAATCACAGAAACACCTCATGGCCTACTGCAGGTTGGAGCAACACCTCAAGTACAACAAAAGTTGTGCTACAATAACTTAAAACAGTTCATCTCTGCATCCCCTGTTCTGTACATGTACATGTTTTCATCTCACACTCTTATTTGTCCCTGCTGTGTGTGTGTGTGGCCCCTGGAGGTGTTAAAGCAGAGCGTGTGCACAATGCGCTGGCTGTGGTTTGTGTGGCTGAGTGTCTGTGTGCATCCTCTGTTGGAAGGGCACGGCTATAAATGCTTAACTCTTCATCCTGTTTTATTGCATGACATGTTTACGAGAGAGCCAGACATGTTTGCCAGTAGGCCTCCGCCTCGCCCCCTCACCCTCGCTGTGTGTGTGTATGTGTCTGAGGCTGTGGACCCAGAGCTACAAAACAGTTGTGTGTTTATGAAGGTGTCGCCTGTCTTGGTGACACATGTGATGGCCATCAACTGGTTACCACTAATGGCAGGCCCTTTTCTTAACCAGTATGACTGTGATGCTTCCTCCTGAGGGACGATTCTGCTCATGTTGCTGCACTTTAACCACAGTGGCAGAGCTGGAGCAGGCACATCCCAGCTTCATTACTCTGTTCCTTCCTATGCATACATGTATGTTTTGTGTTTTGTTTTTTTTTTGCCAGCAGGGCTTTTAATATCTACCCCCCCTTCTCCCCCGCCTCCTGCCTTCTTTTATCTGTGCTGCAGAGCCAAGCATTAACCAATAGCTTGATAACCCTGCTATAAAAGTGGATCTGGAACGGGAAGAACAGCCGTATCTCTGGATATTTTCCTATAGGTGACGCCTCTCCCCTTCTCCCTGGCTAATAATGCCCTCACAAGTCACTCTCTCTCTCTGTGCCTGCTTTGCACGTTAAAGGCACAGGCTTTCATTAGCAGGCACGTATGGTAATGGTAGCAGAGACACCAGAGAGGCAGTCAGAGCAGAGAGACCCTGCACTGTTAGAGGTTAGTTGTATTTCCTATATCCACAAGGTTCCATACAGGTAAAGCCTGGACACACTGTCCTGCTGTTCAGCTGTTTTGCCCACACTTTCCCCTGTTAGGCTGTTCTCTCCCTTTAAATCTCAGAGTGCAAGTGAGTGTGTGAGTTTAGGAGCTGCAGTGTTTATTGATTTCTGTATCCTGATCACTTACAACAGGATTACAGTGAAGCTGTGCGTGTGACGTTGTTGTGAAGGCAGGAGGTAACATAAAAACAGGATTCTTCTTCAGTGCATCTTAAAGACAAACACCAACTGCCTGTTGTTACTGCTAAATGTGGATTTGTTGTGCACATTAAAACAGCTAGATAACACTTTAAAGTGTTTTTCCAAACCTTAATCCAGGTGAGACAAAAATAATGGCACGAGAGAGAGCAGCCGAGATAAAAACTAAACTTTAAAAAGTAGGAAAGGGATAAAAAGTGGACAGGAGCTTTCGTGGTTCACGTTATACTTCTTTACACACCGGTCATTACACCATAGGTCTCTCACACGGACGGGGCTACCAACCAGTCTGTAGAGCTCAGACTGGCTCTGGATTACACGTTAGCCTCTGTTTGTGAGTGTTTACATCTCTGAGCCGTACTTTATGCTTATAGGTGTGTTTGTTGTTGTGTCCTACTCGTCTGTTTCTTTTGGTGCTTCTGCACGTTTGCTCTGGAATCTTGTCTTTGGCGCTCAGTGTGTATTTGTTATGTCTAGAGCCTGTAATAATGTGGAACCTGATAGTGTTTATTTGTATTTAAAAATATGAGCTGATTTTAATCAGCATTAGAGATTTCTTCAACAAGACTTTGAATCATTAACAGCTCTTAATAATTCATGGCGCAGTTTCTCTGAGGGGTGTGACAGTTGCCCAGAGAAGCAATAAATTGGGAAACATGTCATGACCTTCTCCTTATCAAAAAGACATTACATTTGGTGTCCGTCTCCATAGCAGATATGTAACTACTCCTCTTATCAGGTCTTTATTAACTGCTCTACCTATCACACACCTTATTAAACAACGGATGAATTTAGGATGCAGATGACAACGATCTCATTGTCTGAAGGTTGAGATCCGTGTTGCTAAATCCAGGCGTCATTAATATACCGTCACAGCCATGCCCATCCTTAAATAAAGACGGCCTTTACAACAAAATCTTATTGCTCAACACACCTGTAATAATTAAATAAAACAGATTAGCATTTATCAGTCTGTGACCATAGATGATACTGTGATGTCTGCACCCACGTTATTAATTTCAAGCCACCGAGGACAGAGGTGTTACAGTGTTTACAATGAAAACAGATCATTTCACTCAGTCACTAAATTAATCAACCTGTATACTGGACAGGATTCCAGTCTGTCACGGGGCTGACATGTAGACAAACAACCACACACTCACTCCTAGGGGCAATCTAGAGTCACCAGTCAAGCTAAGCTGCATGTTTTTGGATCGTAGGAGGAAGCCGGAGCACCCGGAGAGACCCCATGCAGGCACAGGGGGAACATGTAGACTCTGCACAGACAGCGCTAACCACTGCGATGCCCCCATTAATCTGTTATCAAAACAGATGTTTCAGTATTACATAGCACATACAGCATTCATGTTGCTGCAGCTGCTCGAGGGGGAGACCATTTTAGTTACTTTAAATACAGTTGTGTAGTTTGGTCCACTGGTTCTCAACTAATGGGCCAGACCCCCCCTTTACCTTACCGTGCAAAGGTAAGGTAAAATAAAACATAAAATTAGGATATTCCTAATTTACTGACTTACTTACTTCACTGATAAATAATTTTCATACAGTCCCTAACACATTACTCCTTTTACTTAAGGTTCCCATTTTTAATTTAGCATTTATAAGCAATATAAAACATGTGATAAATGGTTTATAGAACACTATATAAGCAGATATAATGACATAATCTGCTCTAAAATTTCTGGCTAAACACAAAGACCCTGGCACAACTTAATACTACAACAAAAAGTCAATACAATCAGTGACTGCACATTTAATGCCCTCTAGGGCTGCTGTCAGCATCAGAAATTTTTTTTTCCAAAAAAAGCCATTAGAAGACACGTCCACTGTACCGCGTGTACTACTGACTGATAAATACATTTCTGATACTGCCATTAAACCTGTTATTATTTCAGCTCTTTCTATCAGACATTATGTGGAAATGAACTGCCTCAAATCTCCCACTGAGGGACCAATACAGTGCTTTGAATTAATATTTAAGTATTTATTAATGCACTGTTAACTGTCAAAAAGTAAAGGTACACATCTTCATGTAGTTAATAAAAATATCCCGTATGTGACCTGGTAACAGTTGATGTCTTATCTCAGGGAGAGCACCAGTGGAAGAAGTACAGAGAACTTCTAATTAAATACAAAAAAAATAAATATATTTACTAAAATACCAAAAGTAAAATATGCGATTATGCAGAATGACATTAATGAACATTATTGGATTATAATTACTGATGCATTATCATGCACATCCCGTTAGTGTTGCAGCTGGTAAAGGTGGAGCTAGTTTACCTTATATAATGTGGAGTACTTCACATACACTTGTATTTTGTTTGATTCATCTGATTCTGAAAAGGAACTAAAGTTATCAGATACATGCAGTGCAGTAAAAAGTACAAGATTTGCCTCTGAATCGTAGTGAAGTCCAAGTATGAAGGATCAGAAACTGTACGGTACAAGTACCTCAGTACTTGAGTGAATGTCCTTGGTTATTTTCCACAAGTGTATGCAAGTTGACAAAAATACACAGTACAATAAATATTCTTTATCTCTGGGGTTAAATACCAAATGAAGTATACTGTAGTTGAAGCAGGACGTGTTGAGAGATCAGATGTTGTAGTGTGTGTGTGTGTGTTTCAGGTGAGATGGTGAGATGTCGCTGAGGGCAGGTCTTGATATGGATCACCAGTAGCGGGGGAAGCTATGACAGGACGGGGCTTGTTGCTGATAGAGACAGATTCTCTGTAGGGTTATTTCTCAATAAGAGGTGAAGATGCAAACTAAACTCAATCTTCTTGTAGCCACATTTTAACAAGGCAGGTAGAGACTCACATATCGTCAGCTGAAGAGCAGCACTGGCTGTGAACTGCATCTGACAGCATCAGTGAGTTTCTGTCAGTGCTCTGTTATAACCAGTTGTTCCTTTAATGCCTCGACAACATTGATAGTGGTCAGATTTATTTGCTTTCCTTTTCCTCAGCAAACCTCCCATTGTGAACAGTAGCTACCACTGTACTCACATTAAACCCACTGCGTTCCACTCAGTGTTACTCTTGGGACTTTGCCTCCCACACTTTTTAATCACAACCAAAGCTAATGTTTTTAATTTATCATTGATTTTGAAATTTCCTTCTTATTACCTCTCTTTTTTTTTTATTTTGTGGTGGATGGTGTTTGTCAGCGGTGTTGTGGGGGGGGGCAGACAAAACATAGCCTTTGTTCAGAGTTACAACAGCTGGAGCAGTAAAAGCTGCAGAAATATTTAATAGTGAGGGGGGAGGATGCAGTTTCTAATCAAGCACACTACACTCAAACAAAAACCATGGACTCTCCCTCACTTGTTCTGCTGAACTGCTGGCCAGGGTCACTTGGTGCAGACACCCGCTGTGTTTTTCCACTCCCAGATCTGGCCACTAACTGGATTTCCATACTCTGATAGAAAAGCCTCTCATCACTGCTCTCTTCTCTTTCCTTTCTAATCTCTCTGTCTTCACCGAGGGTCACACATGCTGGCAGATATTGTCCTGGGGCTCGTATGTAAATAAAAACATTCCATTTGGTCTGAGTGAGCTGGCTGCTCTTTGGTACTTTGGCGTGTGTCCTCTGTTTGGCCTGGCAGCGTTTCTAAGGGCATTAGCCTATATTAGATATTTGGCTGATGCTTCCTTATCAGGGAACCCACAAGGCTCACACTCTCATGAATGTGTATGTACACGGTGGGGGCTGTGCCCTCATGTTATGAGGTATATGTACTCATACGTACTTAGAACTAGCAAATATTAAAAAGAAAAGACAAAAACTTGAGTAAATTGTCATTAACAAATAAAGAAAACTAGTTTAAAATATTTATTTTTCGCTAAAACGAACAAAATTTAAGTGACTACATTTTGACTTAACTAATATACATTTTATAAAAAAGAGTAAAAGTAAATCAAAATCAGCCTCAGTACTTCTGATTTTCCTTCCTTGTCTGTCACTATCAGCTACAAGTCAATTCAATGCACAGTAAATCTTTAAAAATAGGTCACAAATATATAGTAAAAATTTTTTAAATGTCCGAATAATGCCATAAAACAGCTGGCCACTGTGTTTTTAGCAAACAGGAATAAATAACACATTTGTTGGGGACTATTTTCAGCTGTGGATTAATACACATTTGGTGTAAAAGTTAGTATTTCCATGGCAAAGTGGTGCATTTGGAACTGATTTATGTTCAGACTTGTTCATGTTGCCCTGCACAGCTTGCTGATGTGTGTTGGACAGAAGAATAAAAGACATCAGGCTTTAACTAGACAAAATATTTGGAGCAGGATAAATTGATCATTATTTTTTAGTCTTTTCTGTTTTTGTTTTTTTTTAATGATCCTTATTATCCTTATTCTTTAACCTCTCTTTATCCTCCATGTAAAACCATCCACTTTCAGCAATTTCTGGTCCATTTTCCCACACATAGTGACAACTTGAATCCCTGTCTGCAGACTCATTCTCACTGGCTGGAGCTCCTTTGGGGGTCTGGGGGAGGATGGAGCGAGGAGGGGAGAGTCCCATCACCCAGGACAGTCCTGAGCAGAGGGGAGGCAGCCCGGACCTCAGCGGCCTCCCACCTCCGGGCAAGAAGAGCCGGTTGGAGCTCAACGGGAGCCCCACTGGGCCACGCATACGCCACAACGGAGCCCTGCCAAGACCTCTGGGAGGTAAGCACCACGAGATGCACGTAGCATAAGCGAGGAGAGAATGGAGACTGCTTTTATTGTATGTGTGTGTATTTCAATTTGCACATAATGAAAATGAGCGGAAACACTAGAATCTCTTAATAAGGCTGAAATATTGCAGAAACGTTGTGACGCTTGTCTAAGGTGCAAAGGTTGATGTATTTATAAAAGCAAAATGTGACAAACATCCACTGACGAGAGGAGCGACACGGTGACTGTGATCTTCTTCACATGAATACACCAAACCGATGCCACATCATGTTTTCTACATAGTTTGAGATTTGACTGCTGCTCACGTCACTGCGCCATCTTCTTCTGTGGTGATAAAATAGCACTTGACTGGAGAATTTGAGCCACAGGCTGTAACATTCACATTACAGTAGTTAAACATGTACTTTTTCTTTTTCTTATATTTTTGAAATGTTTTTAACCTGAATAAAAATTTGACTCATAAAAAATGAATACCCACTGTTAAAATGTGGTCGATGACTAAAAACAAAGCATCATATACCTGAGAAATGAACAAGGTAACAATCACTTTCCAAACTGTGCACATCACTGGAATCTTGTGAAAACAGAAAACAACAGATGATGCCATTTCGCCCAGGTGTCAGAGGTTTTTGAGCTCTGCTGTACCAAACCCAAAGACACGGCTTTAGGCTCGGCAACGAGCCACGTCCTGGCTCAGGGCTCCGTGCTGTAGTGAGAACCCTGTTTCTACACTGTTAATCTATAAGTCTGGGGGGAACTGTATAATACAGGCTTACCAAATAAAGCAGATTGCTCCATATAAACAAGATTTATACAACTCACTTTGGGTTATCGATCCCTGCATTCATTGTGAAAGTTGTTTCCTGTTTATGTGTTTGCACATGTGTGTGCGCCCTCTGTGTCTGGGTGTTTGTGTTGCCATCTGTTTGCAGAAACGTCTCTTAAACTCTTTCATTTCCCTTAATTTAGGAAGAAATCTAAACAGTTTGACAGTATCAAATATATATTTATTGTTTATACTGACTGAAAAATTCAAAGCCAACACGAAACGATTTCAGGTCTGTACCATCACATCAAACAGATTTGTTTCAAGATATTACTAACTTAACCTAAAATTCACCCTTGCATCTTTGAATAAAAAGAGACGTGTCTGTGGGTTTGAGCCGCGCTCGGCTGCACGGTACGAGTCTGTGAAGATGCACCTGTCTGTGGGTTTGGCAGCTAAAGAGGTTAACAGCAGTGAGGAGGTAGGATTTGATCACAGTAAGAAGAGAGGAAGAATCAGTGCGTTAGAGTGAGGAATGAACAAATGTTTAAATATAGGAAATATATTTCTGTGTGTTGAATGGATGGTTGGCCTGTCGCAGGGATGAGCTGAAGACGAGAAACTCGATGTCTCTCCTCTAAACCGCACTGCTGCCCTGCGGCCACGCACACACGCATACACACCCCAACAGAGCAACTTGCAAACACAAGCCACAAATTTACACACACACCACACGTCCACACTCACAAACTCTGTGACACTCACACCCAAGAAATGCTGCCAAAACACACACACATACATCTTATTTAAATATTCCTATTCATTCATCCTCATACATATTAGAGGGATTAGAGGTTTGTGGCAACGTCACATCATCCAAACCAGATCACACAGACAGCGGGCAAATCACAGGACAGTGAATATAAGAGAAGACAGACCGAGGTGGAGACAGAGGACAGAGCGAGATAGAGTCAGAGAGAGTGAGCTCAGTGTTGACAGTTATATTTCCCTGATGGGGGAAATTCACTTACTTGAATTGGCACGGTGCTCCAGTGTGTAATTCACTCCATGAGAGCCTGGAGAACTGGGAGCCGATTGATTAATGAGGAGGAAATAGAAATATAGGAATTGACTGATTAAAACAACGGGTGGGGTGGATCCAGGTGGGGGTGGGGGGGCTAATGCTGCACTCACCTCATGTATTTGTATGGAGGAGCATATGTGTGTGCTGGGAGAGGAGGTACAGTGTGCTGTATTATTAGTGCTGGGACGCTGCCTAATGCTCTCAGTGCATCGTTTCTTCAGAGAGCTTTAATTAATTGCCACTTGACAGGTGGCCCAAAACCAAAAGCCTTTTAGGAAAAAGCCTGATATTGGAACAGAAGGGCTGATATATGTGCAGGGAGCAGAGGGATGGAAATGTTAGAATGAGGGCTCATCTCCATTTAAATGAAAGATCAGACCAAGGTGTCATGATATGAGAAAGCAACATTACAGTAACATTGTTATGCTGCCAGTAAACTCTGTCAGAACTGCTTAAGAAACCCTCCCCTCCTCATCCTTCCAGCATCAGATCAGGCAGGACGGTGTCCCAGCATTTTCATTTTCATTCACCATTTGTCATTTTCTTAAAATTGATAAAATACATTAATATCTACTACATGCCGGGATTGGCCGGCTGCGCGGAGGAACTTACTGACCCATAACCTGAACCTTTTAGAACAAAGGACGAAGGTGGCCAGTTCGACTTTGCTTTACCACTGTATTTTATAGCAACAGCAAGGATCAGACGGGCGTCAGTGAAAAGGCAACGGGCTTTCGATTTATGTAATAAATAATAAAAAACGTCCTTGTTTTAAAAAGTCCCTATAGAGGTGAAATGGATCAGGTTGGTGAGGTCATCTAGTGGAAAAGATTTGTTTGTTCAGAGACATTCACAGTGTTGGACCAGTTTGTTACCATCGTAAAACTAGCGTTGTGAAAAAGCTTGAGGGAAGAAATTCAAACCCCACCTTAGTTCTTTCCTCCACACAGCAGGTCAGTCGCTAGGGGTAGCGGGTGGGACCACCCCCATCCCGACACTGAAAGGTGTGGAGGGAGGTGTGTTTAACATGAATTCGCCTGAAGCATGCTGACACCGTAAGGGAGGAGGTAGGTTGGATTATTTCTGTCTCCTACTAACTGTCAGAGTTGGATTGTTGTAACTCCAGCTCTGGTCCTTCCCTCATCTTAACCAAATAGTTTTAGCCACCTTAACCCAATCTGAACAATGGCAGGTCAGAATATGGTTCCTGGAATTGTTTCTCTAAAGGTCCTGACCGTCTTTGTCACCAGGCTTGGTCACTACTTAGATTTGTCTCTGTCTTAACTTAATAGTTAATAGAATCATTCAAAACATCCACATGTGTGGTTCAAAGAATTGCTCAAAGCCTTTGAAAGTAAGTCAAGGTTTTAGCCCTTGTGTGTGTGTGAGTGTGCTGGGAGAGCTCCACTTCTCTGGAGAGTCTGGTTTGGTTTTCACTGGACCTACAGTATATTTTCATGGCATTATTTACATTGAAGAAGTTCTCTTTTGACCACATGTAAACTGCATTAACAGCATTATTTTAGTTTTAATCCTCCCAGTTATGGTTTTGTTGGTTGTTAAACTGATTTATTTTTTAGCTTTTGCATCTCTTATTAATTCTTTAATGAAAGCAGCGGTTGTTGAAGTCTTTTGTATAGTCTTTGCAGATCTATTAAGGGACTTATAATAATGGCTCTACTATCTAATAGGCCGTTAAATAAAATGTCAAGTGGCCTGCATTTGCTGTATCTTGTAATAGTTAACAGCATAAAACAAAAAGGATGAAGTGATTATAAGTTTGACCCACATTAAATTCAGTCCCCATGTCTGCCATCCATGAGAGATAAACTGTGTTGTGGTCACAGACAATAAAAGCCAGGCATTAAGAGACTCTTCCTGATGTTCACCCCTTTTGGCCTTCCTCCACAGGTCTGATGATTCCAGTCTTCTGTGTGGTGGAACAGTCAGATGGAGGGTTTCAGACCGACGGATGTGAAGGAAGAGAGGAGCATGCAGAGTTTGTTCTGGTCAGGAAGGATATTCTCTTCTCTCAGCTGGTGGAGACGGCTCTCTTGGCCCTCGGCTACTCCCACAGCTCAGCGGCACAAGCACACGGTCAGTCAGAGCGCAACACAGAGACTGTGGCGACACCTTTATCATACATACAAGTTCATGGTGGTATTGATATTTTCTTTTAACGCCAAAAAGAAAAAATACCGAAATTATGTCTTATTCTTTAAATCTGTCTTGCACCTCTTGGATTTCTGTTTATGCTGCTATCTCAAAAAAACCTTGAGGCAAAAACAGGTTGACTGGTTGGCAGAGGCTTACAACTGTGAAGTGGTAATTCTAGTTGTGCTTGTTTTACATCCTTAATAATGTTTAGCATCTACCCACCTCATGAACACCAGAGAAAAGGTTTTTTCTTTGAGGTAAAGAAATCTAAAACTGGGTGGAAATAATGTGTTTTCAGCAATGGCCTTCATCTGAAAAAAAGAAAATGAGGAAAATGAAAACAGCAGCTAAACAAAGAAAACCTCCCACAGGAACAATAGAGTCAGACAGAAGGTCCATGTCACAGTAGGGGACACATGACGATGCTGCCAAAATCAATAACACATCTTACAGCTTGAAACTTTTTAGGCTCAGTAGAGAAACACTAAATAACTGTAGTCTTTCAATCCTGTCAGCATACTATAATTTAAAAGCCAAATATCCGAGGTCAAGCTGCCTTGTTTTGTTAGTATGAGTTTCATCAGGGCCGTTATTAATAGTCTCGATTTTCCAACCACCAAGTGTCTCTCACTGTGTAAACTATGACTCAGAAAGAAACACCCCACAGTTTAGGGGTCAAGACAGAATGAAAGGAGACCCTCCCTCTAATCACAGGCCTGCAAGGAAACCTGGATGTGAGGTGGCCCGTTTGGAGCAGACACTGCACTGTAACAGCGGCAGCAAGCATAAGAAAGCCTCTCTAAAACATAACTAAGACACAGACCAAGCCTGACCGAGCTCATTAGAGACACAACAAACAGGAATGCTGGACAGGAATGTCTCCGCAACAATGCAATGTGTGTGTGTGTGGGTGGGTGTACAGTATGTGTGAGAATGCTTATGAAGCAGAGGAAAAGAAAAACTACCGCTGTAATTTACTGCCGCACACATGGTAGTCATCTGCAGCAGGACAGTGTCATTTACTGCTGTCTTTCCCTGTTCCATCTGGGGAAGTTGCCTCACACCCATATAAAACAGTCACAGCAGAGCGACAGGGAGCAACACGGCTATTACAATAGACTGAAAACGGTGGGAGATCCGGATCTGTTTGAAATGTCATTCGAGTGTTTGTTTGTGTGCGTGTGTGTTCTCACAATCACATAAACACACTTGCACAGGCAGTCCTTTCACTGCCTGTCAGTCTGATGGTTAAACAATAAATAATACAACTGTTCCCCTACTGGATGAAAAATGTCTCATGGGAATCAGGAGTAACATGTTTCAGTGCTTGGTGCTAGAAATCTGTCCTAAGATATCCTGAACTTAAACCTGAAGTCTGACTTCAGTTAGAACCGTTTTGTTCAGTTTCAGAACCAAGTAGTTGGAGCTGTCGACTACACAAAGGCAGCAATGTTAAACCTGCAGAAGTTGGGTTTTTGACATACCTACTGTAGCTTCACCTTTTAAGTTGATATGGGGGACTTTTAAGCAAACCGTTACTTATTTACACATCCAGCAGAGCAAAAACGACGCTATGAGAGAGGAGAGGAGAGTGTTAACCAGAAAAGTTGTCGTCTGGACACTAAACAATGAGGTGAAAGTCACTAAAGCTCTGTTACACATTGTCACATTGTCAGTTAATACATTGTTATTATAAATATATCAATCATATCAGCTGTAAAGAATTTAATTTAGACCTGGTGCAGGGGTTTATGGGTAAAAGGACACTCACGGACCACTTAAGATTTAAGCCTTAACATCTGTGTTTATGAAGCTCAAAATGTTTCAGTTTCTGGTGAAATTGTCATAAATATATAAATTCAATTACATGTTTATTATTGAGGTCTTAGCTAACGGTGGCATTACTTTTTATTAGCTGTGGCTCAGGAGGTAAAACGGTTGTCTCCCAGCTGGAAGGCTGGTGGTCTCCCCAGTCCACATGTTGATGTGTCTTTGGGCGAGACAATAAACTAGTTGTCCCTGGTGGCCAGCACCGCCATGAGTAAGAAACTCCCCCACAGGGATTAATAAAGTATAATAACATCTCAATTTAAAATGTAAAATTCAGAGGTGATACTAATATTTGGACCCTCTCATGTACAGTATGTAGCTGCAGAGAATGAAAATATGGAGACACCTCTGAATATAATATCTGGGTCTGACCCTACAACAGAATATTTTATAAATAGTAACTTGGCATGTTCACAT